GTCTGTTCTGCCCTGGGAAAGATGAGCGAGGCATAAAAGGGGGAAAAAGGTTACCTATAGAAACATCTACATTTATTACTGTCAAGCTACAAACTTGTCGGTGTGGGAGACTGATCATGGATATGTTTGATTTGTTTTTTTTTTCCAGATAACCACAAAAAAAGTGGGGAGGATAAGAATAGGAAGGTGAGGGCTAGAAAAAATAAGTTTAGTAGTGTAGAATAGCTATAGCACATTATATTTTAAATATTTTTAAGCCAAAGTGAAAAAGTGAATTATGAGGAATATACCATTTTTTCTGGAAAGTGGGGTAGATGAGAAGGATTGACCAATAATGCATCAGAGTGTATATTTCCCAAATTTTCTGGACAATGTGTAATAATGTCTGATACCTTAAAAAATTGCCTTAGTGGTTAGGAATAAAAATAGCAATAATCAGATTCTTTACTGTTTGATTCAGTGGGGTGCCTGGCCTGTAATTGTCTTTGAGGATTTGGAAAAGATTTTGCATTTCTGTTGTGTATCCTAGAATTTTAGATGACATATTGATTTCATTGTATTTGGTTTCTCTCCTTTAAGAGTCACCATTATTTTTTTTAAGATTATTTATTTTTATTTCAAAGACATATTTACAGAAAGGGAAAGATTTTCATCTGCTGGTTCAATCCCCAGAAGACTACAAAAGCTAGAGATGAGCCAATCTGAAGCCAGGAGTCTCTTCCAGGTCTCGCTTCTGGCTGACCCAAGGACTTAGGCCATCCTATACTGCTTTCCAAAGACATCAACAGAGAGTTGGTTGAGAGGTGGAGCAGCTTGGACAGAAACGGGAGCCCACATAGACGTGGATACTTGAAGGTGGAGAATTAACCTGCTGAACCTTCGCTTTGCTCCCCACCACTAATGTTGAATGGTTTTTTTTTTCCCTGTTGTGGTACAATATTTTAGGATCTAACCTTAGTTTCCTGAGTAAACTTGGTAGTTTTAGCAATAATTCAGAACCAATTACAAGCATCTTTGAACATTTTAGAACTTGATCAATGATTTTTTTCGTTGACAAATTATAAGTTCCATTTAAATTGTGCTGGTTTTAGGAGTTTATCCCATTTAGAGTAGAGAATTATCATCTTTATATATGCTTAACTCTCATAGTGAGATCTGGGCTTGGTTGTTGTCATCTTTACCCATGGTTCCATTAAATCTTTCCTATCCACAACTTCCTCTTTTCTTGGTTTTAAGTAATCTGTGCTGGGCATTTTAAGTTGTTTTTGAGAAAGCTTGTTGTGAGTATAGGGCCAACCAAAAATATGATCAGTTTTTGTGCTTCAGAGATTAATTGACATCACATTGTCACCTAAAAGTTCTGAATTTTGTCTACAAAAAATAAAAACTCATGTCTGCATTTATCTGTGTGTTTTTTTTTTTCTCTAATTTGAAAGCCAAGCAGTCACAAATAATACTTCACAACTTCTAAAAATCACTTTTTTGGGTAATTTATAAGGAAGCCCACAGTTTGAAAGAAGGACTTCTGTCGTGTGATTTGTGGAGAAAATGGAAGTTGATTCACTTTCTTGAATTTTTGTCTTAATCTGTTTAGGCTGCTGTAACAACAGTACCTTATTTGAAGGACTGGATAGGTTATGAATACCAAATCAAAGTGCTAGCAGATTTGGTGTGTGTTGCTGCCTGTTTCTTCATAAATGACGCCTTCTCTCTGTGTTCTTGCATGGTGGAAGGGATGAGGGGTCCCTCCACCATATTGTGGAAAGACATTAATCCGATTGATGAGTTTTGAGTCCTTTGCCCTCATGACCTAATCGCTTCACCAAAGCCTTACTCCTGATGTCATCGCCTGGGGGTTGGATTTATCGTAAATTTGGGAAGGTACAAGTGTGTGCACCACAGAATTGTCTTGTGCTTTTCTTTGTTTTCCCTCTAATATTAACAGAATCTGGTGTTTCTTTTTTTAAAGATTTTTATTTTTTTTTTTAAAGATTTATTTTTATTATTTTTTCATTGGAAAGGCGGATATACAGAGAGAGGAGAGAGAGAGAGAGGAAGATCTTCCGTCCGATGATTCACTCCCCAAGTGAGCGCAACGGGCCGATACTATGCCGATCCGAAGCCAGGAGCCTCTTCCGGGTCTCCTACGTGGGTGCAGGTTCCCAAAGCTTTGGGCTGTCCTCCACTGCTTTCCCAGGCCACAAGCAGGGAGCTGGAAGGGAAGCGGGGCTGCCGGGATTAGAACCGGCGCCCATATGGGATCCCGGGGTTGCAAGGCGAGGACTTAACCACTTGCGCCACCGCGCCGGGCCCTAAAGATTTTTATTTTTATTATTTTTTCATTGGAAAGGCGAATATACAGAGAGAGGAGAGACAGAGAGGAAGATCTTCCGTCCGATGATTCACTCCCCAAGTGAGCGCAACGGGCCGATACTATGCCGATCCGAAGCCAGGAGCCTCTTCCGGGTCTCCCACGCGGGTGCAGGGTCCCAAAGCTTTGGGCCGTCCTCGACTGCTTTCCCAGGCCACAGGCAGGGAGCTGGAAGGGAAGCGGGGCTGCCGGGATTAGAACCGGCGCCCATATGGGATCCCGGGCGTGCTAGGCGAGGACCTTTAACCACTTGCGCCACCGCGCCGGGCCCAATCTGGTGTTTCTTAACATGCTTATTTACTTGATGTCTCCTTGAAACTGACCACTTGACCACAATTACTTCCTATTTTTATCCAGTTTTTTTTTAAATGAGTGCTAAAAATTTGGTTAATACTTGTTCATAAGCTGTTATTTTTGTATTTGTTTGAAAGTCAGAGTAATGGGGTGGGGAGACAGGCCAAAACCAGGACCTTCATCCTAATCTCCCCTGTGGGTGGCAGGGGTCCAAGCGATGGACCATATTCTGCTGCTTTCCTCAGGTCATTAATAGGGAGCTGTGTTGGACGTGGGACAGCTGTGAATCAAACTGGAGCCCGTGTGGGATGCAGGCATTGCAAAGCAGCTTTACGCATTATACCCTGCCTCTAGCCCCTCCTCACCAACTATTTTTAGTTGACAGTCTTGATCTTATTTGAATATGTGACTGTCTGCCAGCCTCAGATGGTTTCCTGCTTGCTTTCTGTAGTAGCAGGATTCTTCTGAAAAAGCTGATTTGTTTTATTCACTTGAAAGGCAAAGTTTCAGTGAAAGAAGGAGAGACAGATCTTCTAACATCTGGTTCAATCTGCAAATGGCTGTGGTAGCCAGACCTGGACCAAATGAATCCAGGAGCTTATTCCAAATCTCCCATGTAGTGTAGGGGCTCTGGCACCTGGGCCATCTTCTGCTTTCCTGGGCACATTAACAGGGAGATGGATCAGAAATGGGGCAGTTGAGACCTTAACTTGTGCCTATGTAGGATGCCTTCAATATAGTTAGTGGCTGTACTTGCTTTGCCACAACACCAGCCTCTGTGATAGAATTTATTTGATTGTCTCACCTTGTAATTTTTTTTCTTACAATGCATAATTTTTTTGAAGATTTATTTATTTTTATTACAAAGTCAGATATACTGAGAGGAGGAGAGACAGAGAGGAAGATCTTCCGTCCATGATTAACTCCCCAAGTGACTGCAACAGCCGGTGCTGCACCTATCCGAAGCTGGAAACCAGGAACCTCCTCAGGGTCTCCCACATGTGGGTGCAGGGTCCCAAGGCTTTGGGCTGTCCTCTACTGCTTTCCCAGACCAGAAGCAGGGAGCTGGATGGGAAGTGGAGCTGCCAGGATTAGAACCGACGCCCATATGGGATCCCGGCGTTCAAGGCGAGGACTTTAGCCACTAGGCCACGGCACCAGGGCCCTACAATGCATAATTTGATGCTTGTCTACCTTGATGAGATGGTGTTGTTTCTGCCTTTTAATAGGTCATGACTCATGCGTAATGCTCCCCACACATTAGAACACTGCATCCTGTAGATTTGTATAATGAGAACTGAATAATAGAACAGTAAAAAAAAAAAAATCACTTTTGGGCCCGATATGGTAAAGTCTTCACTTTGCACACGTGTTGGGTCCCATATGGGTACTGGTTCTAATTCTGGTGGCACCACTTCACTTCCCATCCAGCTCCCTGCTTGTGGCCTGGGAAAGCAGTTGAGGATGGCTCAAAGCCCTGGGACCCTGCCCCCAGGTGGGAGACCAGGAAGAGGCTCCTCGCTTCAGATTGGCACAGCTCTGGACCTTGCTGCTTGAGGAGTGAATCATCAGACGGAAGATCTTCCTTTCTGTTTCTCCTCCTCTCTGTATATCTGACTTTCTAGTAAAAATAAATCTTTTTAAAAAAATCACTTTTGACTCTTGCCATGAGGAAAAATGTAAATTTATGATTTTAATTTAGTTTGCAAATGCACAATTGTGTAGAACGGACTTAGAGCGACAACATTCATTGCTAACTGCCATCTGTATGTCTTAATACTTGTATGACTTTTATGCACTTGATCCAAGCCTTTGGGGGGCCTCACTATTTCCAATAATAAAAAGAGGATGACGTGTCTGGGTAAATCTCATACATGATAGCAGTGTTAATACCATTCCGTGTGATTATGAGTGCTAGGGAAGTACATTGTAAATGATAGAGCAGGCTGGGCCTGGAATCTGTCATATGTAACTGTCGTCTGAAGGGTTGACTGTAAAATGATCAATCTGACTTCAATTTATTTCTCAACTTACTTTTCAGCTATTTCTTACCTGTGCTGAAAGTGAGAGGAAATTAAACTTTAGATAACTTTCTTTTCTACTATTTTTTTTCTGCATTTCCTCTTTACTTAAGTTTGCACTCCTCTGAATATAGTTTGCTAAAGTGAAGGAATCAGGAAATATGCCCTTGGCTGTTAGGGGAACCTGATATTTATCTTATACTTTTAATTTATTTGGTGAAGAATACATAAGGTGCATAAAGATCAGTTTCTTTCTCCCTCTGAGTATGACTGTATTTAAACATGGATTTTTTTTTTTTTTTTTTGTCTTCTAGTTACAGCAGTTGGAACTTGCACAGATACAGCACAGAGATGCTAATCTCACAGCCCTTGCAGCTATTGGACCAAGGAAGAAGAGACCACTAGAATCTGCAAGTGCAAGTGAGGTACTAAAATTGTATCTGCTATTTTATCTTTTATGGCAAGAAAGTAAGCCAAAAGAAGCAAAAAAAAAAAAAAAAAAAAAGGGAATAGTGTGCTCTGGTATAAGCACTATTGCTGATAACTTTTGTTGAAACTCTTCCTTGACAATTTTATGAAATCATGTTTTATTGGGTTTTTGCTGTATATATCATTCTGAACGTTATTGCTGTTTGATTCTTATTTCATACTTCTTCTTGTTCGCTCATTCCAGTCATGCTGAGTCTCACTAATTCAGCTGTTTTTTTCCTGGCAGTTTTATATAATCCTCTGTTTCTCTGAATCTGAGCACATCATGTGTTTGCTGACTGAAGTGTTCTTTGTATGATTTTTTTTCTTTTGTTAAGTTACAGATATCTTGTTAAAGAACTGTGACCTCATTCCATTGCATTTCTGGTGGAACGTGGTACAGCTTGGTTCAGTAAATACCACTGATTTGGGGGTTAATATCAATGAAGGCTCTTCCTTATTTCAGAGTAATTATTTGAGACAAAGTTGGGAAGTTGGTCAGCAGGGCTGAAACAAAGGTATAGTCTTAAGATCCCTTGGATGAGATCAGCAATTTATGCATTTGAACATTTATTCAGCAGACCATCTGAGAGAAATCTTTTAATCTGCTTCTTCACTCAGATGGCCTCAACAGCCAGGGCTGAGGCAAGCCAAGCTGGGAGCCAGGAGCTCCATTGCACAGGGATGCCAGGGGCCCGCATGCTGGCCGTCAGCTAGGTGCATTAGCAGGAAGCCGCAGTGGAAGCAGAGCAGCCAGGACTTAAACTGGTGTCACAAGCAGTGCCTTAACCCAGTGTGTCACAACGCCAGCCCTTCCCTTTAGAATATAAATGAAGTTTGAGGCAAGCTGCTCACAATGTGGACCTCAAATATTAGTAGTTCTTAAATAAATGGCAATCACCATTATCAGCAATTAAAAAAAAGATTTATTTATTTATATGAATAGCAATTACAGAGAGAGGGAGAAAGAATTTTCCGTCCCCAAATGGCCACAATAACTACAGCTAGGCCAGTCTGAAGCCAACAGCCAGAAACTTCTTCCAGGTCTCCCATGTGGATGCAGGGTCCCAAGCACTTTGGTCGTCCTCTGCTGCTTTCCCAGGCATATTAGCAGGAAGCTGGGTTGGAAGTGGAACACCCAGGACTTGAGCTGGCACCATATTGGATGCCAGAGTTACAGGCAGTAGCTTTACCACTAAGCCATAGCACTGGTCCCAGATTAAAGTTTTTTTTTTAGAATTCTAATTATTTTTTGTTCTAAAAATAATATAATGCATGTAGTATTCTCTTCACCTGCTGCTGAATTAGGTGTAACAGATACTATAGCTTTCACATATTCTTCAAAAAATGTTATGAGCACATATCTGATATTCATTCACAAATTCTGGTTTTATTTAAATGTGATCAGACTATCTTTTGTTCATCCTTGATGTTTTCTCTCTTTCCATAATGTGCATCACATATTTTTTGAAAGTGTGTGACTTTACTGAGTTAAGATGTAGTTTGTTTTTCTGTTTCTTTTAATGGATATTGGGTTCCTTCCAGGTTTTTGTTTTATTGTCACAGAGAACTTCCTTATAGTTACATAGTTGTGTGGTTGCTTATACATGTAGCTAGAAGCCAAATTCCTAGAAATGAAAGACCTGGCTTAAAGGAGTTATCCAGAGGGAAACTCTGGAAATACTTAAATATATACAGAGATAGAACAGTATACTGTGATTCCATGTACTTTTCATAATATGCCCAACTTCATTTCATTTTTATCTATACCAACTTTCTCAAGTAAGTTAATTCATACTTAGAATACTCATTATTATTTTAATTTATTTGAGATTGTCAGACTGAAAACCTCCATCTATTAGTTTACTCCCCAGATGTTCTGCATGGCTGGGGGTGAGGCTACAAATTGAAAACAATCCAAAAATTTAACTGCCTGGACTATTGCTGTTGCCACAGATTCTATGGGAAACTGGAGTCAGGAGCCAGAACTAAGAATAAAACCCTGACACTTTGATGGGAAATGTGGACACCTGAATTTCTGGGATAAACGTCTTTTATCCTTCAAATTATTTTAAATTTAATTTCAAACTTAATACCATTTTATTTGTAAATATTATTTGCTGCTCTTAGTTTTGTAGAACTTTTAAAATGTCTGGATAAGTTGTTTCCATTTTCCTTTCTGTTACTACCTATCTCTATACTCTCAGTGGTCCTGGTGACACTAGAGATTATTTTTGCCTTTTTAAAAAGAAGATTATTTGTTTTAATTGAAATGACAGATATACAGAGAGAAGGAGATGTGGAGAAAAAGATTTTCCATCCATTGTCTCACTCCCCAAATGGCCACAAAAGTTAGAGTTGAGCTGATCAAAGCCAGAAGGAGCCAGGAACTTCTTCTGGGTCTTCCATGCAGGTCCCAAGGCTTTGGGCCATTCTCTGCTGCTTTCCCAGGCCACAAACAGAGAGCAGGATCAGAAGTGGAGCATCTGGAACACAAACTTGCACCCAGTGGGATACCAGCATTTGGAGGTAGAGAATTAGCTTATTGTGTTGTGCCGGTCCCAATTTTTACCATTTTATGTATGAAAAACAAGTTTTTAATAGACCATTATTAGTGAATTAAGCGATTTGTTGTGTGTGTGTATGTTCTACCAATTGCCCTTTGTCTAATTGAGTTATATTTTTCAATTGATTGTGGAAATAAGACACTCTCTTGTTTTTTTTAGTTTTATTCATCTAATGGGGTGGGGAACATTCAGTTCATAGACAGTGTGAAGCCCATAAAATCATTTAGTCTGTCCCTGCCAAGCCAACAGTAAATGAGTGGACTTAGAATTCAGTACATCTACAGCAGGCTGGTTTTTAATTGGCTGTTTTGTATGGCTTGCAAAAGAAAAGTATCCCAATGGCCCTTGGCAGAAAAAAAAAAATTCCTCATCTCTGCTGGTGAAATTTTTCATTTTTTCTTCATCGGTCATTTATGCTACTCTTCTATGTTTATGTCTAAGACTCTCTTCTTAGATTTATTTCAGAGACAGAGCACGTACAGCTTCCATCTGAGGTTCACTCCACAGATGTCCACAATGGCTGGGCATGGGCCTGGAACATGAGTGGGACAGTGACACGACTGTGATGGCCATCGGTCACCTGCTGACTCCTGTGGTCTGCGTAAGCAGGAAACAGGCACCCAGGAGCCAGACCTGGTGCTCAAACCCAGATATGTAGTCTCAGACACAGACTTACTGTTAACTAGGCCAAATGCCAACCCACAAAGCCCACCATACTCAGAGTTGTGGATTAATACTTTCATCACTTCTTTTTAAAGTATAAATCTCAGATCACTCCAGTATTTATTTAAAGTAGGAGTTAGATATGCATTTAGCTTTAACATTTTAGTTCTGTCTCATTCTCCACTAAATTAGCAAATTGTCCCTAAACCATTTATTCGTTACTCTTTCCTTCACTGATATGAAATGCCACTTTGTGATATTTCAGGTTCACACCATTTTGTATCAAATACAGATTATTATCTGTGTTTGAGTCTATTTCTGAACTCTAAAGCAGTGCTATGATGGATTAAGATAATTTTTTTTAAAGAGAAAGATTTCCAAATCCTGGTTCACTGCCCAAGTGCCCACAGAGCTGAGCTAAGCCTAACTCAGGAACCTGTACTCGACCTGGTTCTACCACGTAAGTGATAGACCATAACCCTGAGTTCCATTACCTGCTGTTTGCCAGAAGACACACTGGCTTATAGCTGGATCAGAACCAGAATAGCCAGACTCAAACTAGGTACCCAGGACTGGTATCAGGTAAGCACTTGCATTCTAGGCTCCTGCGTAGTCTGAACAATTGGGAAGGACACTTTATCTCTTCCAGTTGGTCAGAGCAGTTCTTCTGTAGATCCAGATCCTGTCCCTACATTCTGCAGTTACCCTGTGGGTGGCAGACGACCGTGTATTTGGGCCATCTGCTGCTGCTTTTCTCAGGCCCGTAGGGAGTAGGGAGCCAGTACAAGTTTCGAACTGAACCCCCAAAGCATGTTGGGCTATTTTATGCAGATTTGTTGGACAGGATCTGGATCTACAGAAGAACCAGTCTGAACAGCCTGTTATACTGACATATTCTGGTTTAATACTAAGTTCCACAGATGATAGAAACCTCCCATCCTGTGTCCACTGGAAAAAGTGTCCTTTCTCATTGCCCAGGCTTCTTATGAGCCTAGAATGAGGAATGTGTACCTGATTCCAATCCCAGGTGAGGGCAGGTATACTCTGGGAAGGGGAACTGTGATTGAAAGATAGGTAGATAGGATTACATGGAGTAGGGCTAAATGGCTTCCAACTCATGACCACAAGCTAATTACCTATTTATTCTCTATCATTCCCCCAAAAAGATTGCTTAAGATTTATTTTTTTTTATATCGTTTTAAAAATTTTTTATTGGAAAGGCAGATCTACAGAGAGAAGGAGAGAGAGAGAGAGAGACTTTCCATCTACTGGTCACTCCCCAAAGGCCGCAGTGGCCAGAGCTGAATTGATCTGCAACCAGGAACTTCTTCAAGCTCTCCCACATGGATGCAGGATCCCAAGACACTGGGCCATCCTCTACTGCCTTCCCAGGACACAAGCAGGGAGCTGGAAAGGAACTGAAGCAGCTGGGACATGAACCACTGCCCATATAGGATCCTGGCACACACAAAGTGAGGACTTTAACTACTAGGCTACTGTGCCCTGCCCCCCAGAGATTTATTTTTTTAAGATTTATTTATTTATTGGTATCGGGGGTACTCCCGTCCCGCGGAAGAAATCACCTGACACTTGAGAGAGTCTCCAAGGCACTTTATTCCGATCTTGTCCAATCAGCTTAAAGATAACCAAGGCACACCAATCAGGGCAAAGGGCCAAATCACAGGGCAGGAAATGGTCAGTACCCCCAACAATTGGAAAGTCAGATATACAGAGAGGAGGAGAGACAGAGAGGAAGATCTTGCATCCAATGATTCACTCCCCAAGTGACCGCAACGGGCAGTGTTGCGCTGACCCAAAGCTAGAAACCAGGAACCTCCTCAGGGTCTCCCACACGTGGGTGCAGGGTCCCAAAGCTTTGGGCCGTCCTTGAATGCTTTCCCAGGCCACAGGAAGGGAGCTGGATGGCAAGTGGAGCTGCTGGGATTAGGGATTCCGGAGCGTTCAAGGTGAGGATTTTAGCCGCTAGGCCACATGCTGCTGGCCCCCCCTCCCCCCCAGAGATTTTTAAGTGTTGCTGAAGAATGAAGATTCATCACATCTTCTGTACCTACTTTCTGCTGATTATGGATGTAGACCTTGCCTTTCCCTGACTCAGATAGTGGGTCCATTTCATGAACTGGAGAATTTCCAGTCAGTTCCAATGGAGTTGTTGGATTCTTTTTGTCTTTTGTAAGGGTAGTTGAGGTCTCCTCTTGGTTCACTGGAGTAGGCAGGCTTATCTTTCATATGCACCTGAATATGTTCCTCTCCTTTGCTCAAGAGTTTGGGAACATGGTAGTCCCACATACAATTTTGTGTACCAAGATCAAAGCACATAACCATGGGCTCTGGTCCCTGAGTTTGGAGATCCTCAGGCATCTGAAGATAACTGGACATGAATGCGTGGGTGACCTGCTGATGACAGAGGCCATCAGTGGGATCAAGAGTAAATTTGATAAAGGCAGGGGTTCCTGGGAGGCTCAGGTGACCGATACCTAGGATTTGGAAGCAACACAGGCAGCAGCACCCCAGAAGATCCCTATCCATGTGGGAATGACTCGCAGGCCACATGAGCCCGCACAGCCCAGCCATTTGACCCCTGCCTGTTTGACTCAGGTCCTGTTTTTAACTTTGAAAACACTTTTGTTCTAAAAGAAAGGTCTCAAGTTGAAATGCATTCATCAGAATTGTCAGAAAATCTTTATTCGCTTGCTTAATTTTCTCATGGATAACACAAAATGATGTATGGGATTATTTTTAGAACTCTGTGCTTTGGAAATTGATGCAATAGCCTAGTGGCTAAACTCTTTCCTTACGTCCACTGGGTTCCCAAATGGGTGTTGGCTTGTATCCCAGCTGCTCCACTTCCCATCTCAGGTCCCTGCTTATGGCCTGGGAAAGCAGATGAGGACAGCCCAAAACTTGGGAACCCTACATCTGCGTGGGAGACCTGGAAGAAGCTCAACTCTGGCCATTGCACCCACTTGGGGTCTGAAGCAGCAGATGGAAGATCTTTGTCTCCGTCTCTCCTTCTCTCCGTATATCTGCCTTTCCAGTTTAAAAAAACAAAATCTTAATAAAAAAGGTATTCTGTACTTTGGAAACTAAATCTCTACTTTGAATTTGCTTCATCCTTTATAGATGAGAGCTTGAAACCTTATCTGTTTGAATTAAATTTGTTACTGTAGCACTGAATCATACAATATAAGTGACAACACAGTCTTCTTTCCCCAGGTTATGATGATACTCATGAGTCTTTGACTCTGGTATTAGTGTCCATTTTAAAGAAAAAAAATATAAGTGTATGTAAATAATGTGCACATTTGAGATATATATGGCAAAATTATTAAAAATTATAAAATTTAAGAACTTTATAAAACTTAAGGTCTTACTAGTATTTATTATACTAAGTGGGACAGTTTATCTTTTTTTCTGACTCCAATTTGTCATGTAAAGCATTAAGATAGTTTTTCCCGGACCCAGTATGGTGGCTAACCTAGTGGCTAAAGTCCTCACCTTGAACGTGCCAGGCTCCCATATGGGCACCGGTTCTAATCCTGACAGCCCACTTCCCATCCAGCTCCCTGTTTGTGGCCTGGGGAAGCAGTCAAGGACGGCCCAAAACCTTGGGACCCTGCACCAGTGTGGGAGACCTGGAGAAAGTTTCTGGCTCCTGGCTTCGGATCTGCACAACACCGTCCATTGCAGTCACTTGGCGAGTGAATCATCAGCCAGAAGAACTTCCTCTCTGTCTCTCCTCCTCTCTATATATCTGACTTTTGCAATAAAAAAAAATAAATCTAAAAGAAAAAAGATAGTTTTTCCCATTTGGAATTATACTGTGGGGAGGTCAAGAGGATTTTTGAAAGATTGCACACAAATAATCAAGATTAGGGTACAGATGTAAATGATGAAGCTATTCAAGAGAAAAAAGTCTCAAGAATCTCCTACATGTTTTCCTTCTTGTTATTTGAACGTATGTTGCCATAGGACATAGATAAAGTAGTTCTCCTGGTCCTTGGAAGGGGCCTGCCTTATTTTGGGTTACATATCTCTCCCGATAAAGGCAGATTCATTATTTTCTACCCGTTGTACAATTTTAAAGATTATTTAAGACGTAATCACATTTTTCGGAATGAACTGAACTAAGTTGACAAAGTGCTATCTATAAATCAGTGCTGAATCTGTATAAAAGTAGTAAAACACATTAAAGAAAATGTTTGTGGTAGGTAGCTAATTTTCTGCTCCATGCCAATCTGATAGCAAGTATTTCTTCTCTCCCTCCTGTTTTTCTGTGCTTCTGTGATGTACTATCTCTGGGAAGTGAAAGTCAGCTAGTTCAGTCCCGGAAAGCAACAACTTCTATTCATTGCAAAAAAAAAAAAAAAAGCGGGACACTAGGTCGGAGTGTACTGAAAAGGCAGTGATGGTGCTGCCAAGGAGTTATGTCCTAAAACTCTCGGAACTCAGATGATTGACGTGTGTTCATACCAGACGAGAGCAAAAACCCGGAGGCAGGGTGGAGCTGCTTCGTCTTGAGAAAAGATTCCTCTTAGGGATTTATGGATTTAATATTTTCCCCACTCTTCTTTCTATAAATCATTTGAGTGTATAACAGTAGTAGACCTATGGTAGTGTTTTCAAGCACAGCATGTTGGCCGTTTCTTGTTGGTTTTTTTTTTTTTTTCCTTTTCTATATTCTCCCTCTCCTCCCCCAACTTCCTGCTCCCCCATCCTTCTTCCCTCTCATGCTCTTGTGTTCTCTCTCTCTTCTATTTACAAGGGAAAAACAAGCCAGTTTTATGGCACAGCATAGCTGCCACCTGCATTGCCCACACCCTGTTTGGGTGCTTCCTGAGTGTTGCAGCCATTTTGGGAAGGACCCAGCTAATGGGAGATGTGTGACTCTCCCTCCCTCTGTAATTCTGCCTCTCAAATAGAATCTTTTTGAAAAAAGAAAAATATCTCCTGTCTTCTGGTTCAGCTCCCAGCTGATCCACATGTGGTGCTGGACCAGGCTGAAGATGCTAGTCGGGAACTCATTCCAGGCCTCCATGTGGATGACAGGGAACCAAATGCTTGAGCTATGACCTATTGCCTCCCAGAATGTGGAATAATCAAAAGCTGAAACCCATAGTCAGGCTGGAACTCAGACCCAGGTACCCAAGTGACATCTTAATTACTGCACCAAATGCTCACCCCATTTCTTTGACTCTACCTGTCAGAAAATACTTCTTGACTTTCTGTAACCCCACTGCTTTAAAGCTACACCACTTTCTTAAAGACTGGTTCTGTAGTGTCAAAGCAGAGCTCTTTGGGAAGTATTATTTAGATCAGATTTTAAATGAGTTTACCTTGATAGGTAATCTTTTAAACTCTCTAATGCCACAGTTCTTTTAAGTTTTCTTTGAAATGAAGAAGAGTCTTCCTAGAAGAGTGTTGTAGGACAGTAGATTATTCAGTCAATAAGTGATTATTACTTTGTGGAGAAGGAGCAACTCCCCTTTCGTATGTCTGCATTCTTTTAAAGATGATCAATTTGTTCACTTTAAAGGCAGAATTGCAGAGAGAGAAAGGCAGAAGCAGAGAAAGAGAGGTGTTCCATCTTGATTCACTTCCAAATAACCTCAACTATCAGGGCTTGTCCACGTTGAAAGCAGGAGCCAGGGGCTTCATCTGGGTCTTCCGGATGGCTACAGGGGCCCAAGCACTTGAGTCATCTTTCATTGCTTTCCCAGGCGCATGAGCAGGGAGGTGGTTTGGAAGTGGAGCAGCTGGGACTGAAACTGATGTCTGTGACTCAGGGCCGGACCCTTTGTCTACATACTTTCAGTGTAGTAATGCTTAAAGCAAGGATTATAGATAGTTTATGAAGAGATGGCTACTTAATGATCATGTTGAAAATGTACAAATTAGAGTAATAATGAAAGTTCTTTAAATTTCCTGGATATCCTTCCTGATAATTCCCTCGAATCTGTTAAACTATATAATCCTGCCGTTTTTAAGTTAAAAATGATTTAATAATGGAAATTTCATTTAGTTACTCTAACAATTATATATACATATATATTCTTCAAAATACATAAGCAATAATCACTGTTTGCTTTAATCAAGCACATATATCACTAATCGTCATTTCCTCTGTAAGAGCATATTACTATTATTTCCTTCAAATGAAAGATCTTGAGGAGTAGTTTCCACACTGGGAGGCAATTTACATATCCCAAGAATTTTATATTTGTACTGTGAGCTATTATAGTCAGAAATCCTTAAAATTCTGTAACATGTGGTTTAATGTATCATGTACATTGTATTAGAGTTCTCTAGAAACAAAACCAGTGGATTGATACAGCTAAATCGGGGTTTTGAATATTTTGAACATTTATTTACTGTTTTGAAAGGCTGAGTTACAAAGGTGGAGAGAAAGAGAGAGAGAGAGAGAGCACGCTTCCATCCCCTGATTCATTTGCTTCTCCCCTCACTCCCACAAATGGTCACAATGGCCAGACTGAGTCATTCCTAAACTAGGAGCCAGGAGCTTCTTCCAGATCTTCCCAGAAGGCCTTGGGCCATCCTCCACTGCTTTCCCAGGCTACCAGCAGTGAGCCGGATTGGAAGCAGAACATCTGGGACTCAAATCAGTGCCCATATGGGATGCTGGATCCCCATGCCAGTGCCTTGTAGGTAGAAGATCAACCCACTATGCCTCTGTGCTTGACCAACAAGTTTGGATTTTAAAGGCCTCATTCACCTTACCTGATCTTGAGTAGAGACTGACCCTGTTGCTATGAGCTGTTCAGTTGCCCTAAACAGGAGCTCTGAAGCCTGCCTTTTCCTTTCCTGCTTAGTCTTTGGAGTCATTCTTATCTTTTATTCTTTTATTGTTTATTTCTAGTGGGTCTCTCCTTGTCATCTCTGCCCAGGTTACTTTCCTTTTCTATCACTTACAACCTTGCATCTCCTCGGATGTATGATTTCTTTTAGCTCTCCCCATCTGTTAATGTGAATTCTTAAAAAAAATTACTTCCATAAAAATGAATGTATATTTATTATAGAAGACTTATAGAAGACATAAAAGAAAGCTAAAATCCATCCAGTTATATCCACAGATTTTTAAAAATTCATGATTGTAGTCATATTTTGGTAACCTATGTTTTTACTTAATATAGTTTATTATCCATGTTAATGAATATTTCAATGACATA